TTGCCTTTGCCACACCTACCTTTTGAATGGGCATCCAAGTCAAGATTGCTGGAAGGTACGCGTGATGATGCATGATGATGCATGATATAGTCAATAGAAAACAGACTATGATAATCATTCAGGGTGCACAACACAACGAAATGAGGAAAAATGTTCATCTGACTCATTCTATATCTATATTTGTTATTGCCTTTTCATGGAGTTGAATTGCATTGGATGCAAGATTCTCTCTGGAAAAGGTGGTTCCTGCACTGCTCCCCTGACATCCCCTGACATCCTGTGACATCCCCTATAACCATTGCCTCTTCAGGCAGCGGTTTTGCAGTGGAGGGCGCGTCTGTAGACGGAGCATCCTGCTGGCATCATGGAAATTGCCTTTGCCACACCTACCTTGTGAATGGGCATCCGAGTCAAGATTGCTGGAAGTTATGCATGATGATGCATGATGATGCATGATATAGTCAATAGAAAACAGGCTATGATAATCATTCAGAGTGCACAACACAACGAAATGAGGAACATGTTCATCTGACTCATTCTATATCTAAAATTGCTATTGCCTTTTCATGGAGTTGAATTGCATTGGATGCAAGATTCTCTCTGGAAAAGGTGGTTCCTGCACTGCTCTCCTGACATCCCCTGACATCGTGTGACATCCCCTATAACCATTGCCTCTTCAGGCAGCGGTTTTGCAGTGGAGGGCGCGTCTGTAGACAGCATCCTGTTGGCATCATGGAAATTGCCTTTGCCACACCTACCTTTTGAATGGGTATCCAAGTCAAGATTGCTGGAAAGTACGCATGAGGTTGCATGATATCATCAGTAGAAAACAGACAATAATAGTTATTCCTTCATAAAACCGGGAGCGTTTGGACTAAAACCAACGTTGGTGGTGGAAGTTTCTAAGTTCGTGGTATTCCACTTTAATTCTAAGTAAACGAGTTCATATAAAATCATATAAATACTCAACATTATATGCCAGTTTTAGCACCTACATTTATTTAAAAACAAATAAAAAAACGAAAACATCCGTTGCAAACCATGACTCTGACAAACAACACGTCAGAAATATTGCACCTGCACATCTCCCATAGCAGAGGCATCAGGTGGCACCCTCTGTGTTTCCTGAGTTGATGTTGCAATTGAGTCGCAGTCGAAACATGTCGAAACATGTCATTGAATGTTTCAGTCAGATTAGTGTGTGCATATTTGTGTGAATGCTTTGGTTTATGATAAAACACGATGAAGAAAATACATGAAGAAGGCAGGATACAGCACCTCAAGTGGCTAAAGCTCAAGAGCACATCTGTCAGTGTCACAGGGTTGTCTAATGCCAAGGGATAGATGCAGCTCTGACTCAATGGCTAGTATTGGCTAGTTCCCATGGGTAAATCGAATCAAAGAAACGAATCGGAGAACGCAGCGCTCATGATGCTGGGCCTTCATTATCAAGCCTGTTGTTCTTATATGTTCTTATAAGTGCAAACATCATCCGCACAATGCATTCCAGAGAATATTGATATGTATATATATAATATTAAATAATATTAAATAATATTATATAATATTATATAATATTATATAATATTATATAATATTATAAATTATACATCTATATAATATTATAGTATATTATAGTATATTAAATATAATATTAGATTATGATTAAAATTAATATATAAATAATAATATAATATTATATATATATATACATGTTACGGACGTCTTCATAATATTTATCCTTTCATATTCTTTCTGCTTTCAGAATGCTCTACCATGCCTATGCCTGTGGAGGTATTTGAGAGTGGCCGCATGTTGGCCGACATGGAATTGACATTCACTCAAATGGTTTGAAAGCTTACCATTGGTGAGGAAAAACCATGCATAACATTGCATAACAATTTCTTGGGTCTCCTCTGGTCATCAACCTGCTAGCCACATTAACCTCTTCCACCAAGAATCCACAAAGGGAACTGCAGTTCGATCTGGGCAGTTTCGTAGTCGATGTACCTGACTCACATGAAGTCACCACTGTCTATAATATTTTAGATTGATTTATGGATAGATTTGGGTACCTGCCATATCTGCCACAACTTCTGAACTGCAAACGCCACACTTCAAGCCCTTTGGCCCATAGCATTGCTTCATAATGCTTGATAATGCTGCATATTGTAGGGGTATACTGTAGAGCTACGATGCAGGTGCTGGTAGAGGTACGGTAAAGGTACGGTAGAGGTACGGTAGAGGTACGGTACTCTACCGTACCTCTACCGTACCTCTACCGTACCTCTACCGTACATGTACTTCTAACGTAGCCCTATGATCCCATCCTGTCATATTTTCAACGCACTAAAAAAATGTTTACGTTTGGACCTACCTGCTCAAGTCTGCTCAAGTGGAAAACCATGTGATCCAAGATGCAACATCAGTGCGAGAAGGTGGCGATGGCAGGCCCAAGTTCTTCGCCACATTGTTCGCTTTGGCCCACGAATCTAAGGTCTTCTTATACGCGGGATGATGCCAGTAGTCTCAGTGGCAGGGGCTTTGATATGTTGGGATTCTGGTTGTGAGGTGGTGTTCTGACTGACAGCAACCATGCATCATGATCATCTGAGACTGCGCATTTTGGACATTTCTGGGAAAATCTTCCAAGCATAGAATGAATTAGAATGACATGAAGACATGAAGACATGAAAAAAATCTCTGATCTTGCTCTCTTTGCGCTGAATGCAGCACAAACCGCAGTCCACGCGATTGCTGCTCCAGCTACACTTCTTCTTCACCAGCCAGCCCATTGCTGCTCATGGCTGCTCTCCAGGCTTTTGCATGTCACACGTTGCATGTTATTTTTTCTTCGATTCAGCGATATTGATATATATTGATCTATCTTAGGGCTCAACTTGCCATATGTAAAATAGATTAAAATAAAACATATTCCAAGTTGGTCCTCTTGATGTCCAATGATGTCCAAGTAGGAGTTTTGTGATGTTTTGTGGTGTCCGGGTCAATGCATGTCCAAATGTTTCAAGGTTCACTATCCCCTGGAACCTGCAGCGGGCGCCGGACAGGCGCACAACATCAAATAAGCCCCATTAAGCCCCATCAAATTGGATGATTATCCCAGAAAATACTATTATATTTTCTTAATATATGTTAAACTATAATATACTATAATATATTATAATATAACATAATACTATAAGAATATACAAAAACTATAAAAAAATATACAAAATTATACAAAAATATTAAAAATATAAATATATATATAAATATAACTATATATTTAATTATATATATAATTATATATAATTATATATATAATTATATATATAATTATATAAAATTATATATATAATTATATAATTATATATATATATACATAAATTACTGAAATATTTTTTTTCGTAGGTCCCCCCTCCAAAACAAGCATCAAGGTCATTGGGATTTTATAATGGCATGTACTTCAGAACTTTCTAAGAATGAAACAACAGAGTTTTCACCGATTGTATGGCATTCGAAACAGATTGGCCGAGTGGTAAGATCTACACTTAGTGCGGAAGCCTACGCAATGTCTAGCTCACTCGACAAACTGACCTGGATCCGAACCATGTGGGGTTTTATAAAGAATCCGCAGTTTGCCTGGGCAAAGCCTGAGATTTCTCTGAAACATGAACCCAAGGGAATCATGATAACAGATTGTAAATCTCTGTATGATCTAATCACGAAAAACGCAGTGCCAAATTGTCAAGAGTGGCGAACTACGATCGAAGTGATGCTCTTGAAGGAACAATCCCGTGAACATACCACGTGTCGCTGGATCTCTACTGCCATAATGATAGCCGATTGCCTGACTAAGCCCATGGATGCAACTTTCATGAGAACAGTTTTACAGCTTGGCAAGTTTCGTATATACGACGAAGATCTCACGTTGAGACAAAACGCAAACCGTAAATACGGTGTGACATGGGTAAACAATCGAATTTTTAAGAGAGACCAGTGTGAAATCACCGGTTCTTCGGACCATTCGATTGCCTTGGGGTCATAACAGCAACTACCATGCTGTTCGTGTCGATACCTGTGTGGCTCAAGGGCCCAACATTCAGGAACGCGGGGAAAAAGGGAGTCGCCATTTGGAAGCGCCTTTGGTGTTATCATAGGTATCTATCTGGTTTGGAAGAGAGGACTCTTGCAAGGTGAAACATTCAGGAAACAGTTTTGGAAACCCATCTCATTTCTCTCTCTTGTGGACAAGGAGATCCTTTCAGGTTGCTGCCAGTGTACTGGGCCCATCCCAGTTACAATTATATATATATAACATACACCCATGCCCCTTGACATGGTACCGAGCTAAGAAGGGATCAAGGGAGCAGCGCCATGTAGGTTCTATTATATGTTCATTTCATAAGGATGTATGGAGATAACTTCTACCACCGGCAGTTTCCGATCTAACTTCCATTTCTGGGGTACTCTCTTTGTCTCTCTGGTCACTTCAACCGGGAAAATCCATGAATATCTCCAAGTGCCATGGGCAAATCACTCACACATGGGGCATGTTTGATTGCCATGTTTGATATCCTGGGATGATCCGGGAAACCAGTCCTGGTCACAGGTTGGAATGTTAGTTGAAAAAACATTCTAGGCTACAGGATTGCAGATTTATTACAGCTCCGATTACAGCTCCTATCAAGCCAAAGCTATACCGCACTTTCAGAAATCATCCTAACAGAAAGACAAAGGTAAGCCTGGTGTCCCAGGAGACCAGGAGACGAACACTGGTGACACATCGTGCACATGGGTGTAGGACGATCACCCAACGGCACTACTCTGGCTGCATCCCAGGTAGTAGGTAATCATATAACTATAACCATATCATAGCATGTCAACCCAATTACAAATAGAATGTATGGGTCATAATACAGTTTAAACCACATAAGTACTAATTGAGATGCACTTCCGAGTAGTGTTTCAACCTGCCAGACCTTCCGAAAACCTCCGTTTTAACCGTCCTCCAGAAGCTCTTTGTCCCTGGAGTGTGCCCGAATGCTGTAGCGGTCATCTGCTGCCCGAATCTCTTGCACCTTCGCGTGGATCAACTTGGCACCTGCACGGTAGGACCATTTTTCGCCATTGGTTGAATGTCAACTTACTGGAAACCATAGATTTTGATGGATTTTGCTGATCTTTTCACATGTTACCGATGGCGGCTTTACTATAGACCTTCAGAATTGAGATCCCAAATGAGACGGCATGCTGTCCAAAGAACATGAGAACAACTAAACACTTCCAGGAATTGACTTGGTTCACGACTTAAACGATGATGAAACAGTACGTATGCACAACACCCCAAAGTGGCAGGGGTTTTTTTGTTCGTACTATATGTCCAAAAAAAAAAGAGTAACATATAGAGTAACACTTCCCACTTGAGGGGGTAGTTGCTGTGTGATCCCAGCTTTATTTCAGCAAACATGTGTCACCCGAAATACAAATTTTGGTTTAGACAGGTGCGATGTAATCCTGGCTTCATCCTCTAGTGATCGTACCCGTTGCACTCCCCGGTAGTGAAATTTCAGTCATGGCTGGAATGTACCATTCTGTACATGGGAGAAAAGAAATCCAGTTACAACTGCTGGGGTCGAAAAAGACGGACTTCGTGACTTCCTAAAATGGGCGACCCCATTTTATCATCCAAAATTGCTATAAATTGCTGATTTTATCATCCAAAATTGCTATAAATTGCCCATGTTTAGAGACGAAACACATGGTTTTAGGATACCCCAAATCATCAAACAGCACTGAGAGGATCCAAGCCGCTGGCGGACTTCAACAACTTCTCGGCCAACAAGTGATTGCCGCCCTTCACAGCCCATAGCGGTCCTGGAAAAGGGGGAGGGCCTGGAGACGCCTGGAAAAGCCATTTCAAATAGGGAAAACCCATCCCAGGTCCCCAATTGTTACATCCATTTTGGGCTTCATGCTAAGTCTTCAGGCCGACCTTAATCAGTTTGGGGTTGCTGGGTGAATGCCTTGAGAGTTGATCTTCGTTCCTTGACTTGGCCCATCCCAGGTGCAAGGCTCGCAGGTCCTACGAAACCACAGAGGGCGACAGCTCCCACAAAGGCACCTACATCCTGGGCCATAGGGATGCCAAGCCCCAAAAAAATGCCGCGGCCAAGGGGGACAGATATGGACAGATCCAGTCATTCCAAAAATGATTTAAGAGAACAGCAATGAAGCAAACCCTTTTGGGGGTACAGGGACTCACAGAATTTCATCCCAAATGAGCTGATTATGGGGATCCCTCACGTCTGGCACTTCCATGGACCCCTTCGTGCTGACAGATCTTAAAGAGACCTGTCCGCTAAGCAATCTGCTGTTGGCGATATGGTTCAATATTGGGTATCACAAAACAGCATGTGTCACAAAAATTCAATCTGTTTCAAAACTCAAGGATAAGAAACATAACGATACAAACTCTATACCCTCTGGTTATTTCACATAGCCATGGTATAGATGGCCCTAATCGAAATAGATGATTTGCCCAGCTAGAAACCTCCATTTGCCGAGGATCCAGTCCCTGGCCATAGTTGATCCTGACCATGCCTGGCAAATACCCGGCCTGGTCAACGTTTTAACAGTTTTTGCGATTGAAAATGGCACCATCTATACATTGAAATTGTGGATTAAATAGTGGATTTACCCATGAAAATAGCATGGTGATTTTCTATAGCTATGTAATGTTATGTACCTATTGAAGATGGTGATGTTCCATAGTTATGTAAACTTTTACCAGAGGGTAGATTTGGATAGTGAGCCCCCTGCAATCATCGACCAACAGTGGTGCCTTTGGAACACTTCTGTGGAGGCACCCTGACCCATGTCCCCATGCAAGAATCTGCTGGAAGTGGGTGCTCCCCAGTCCAATGGTGTATCAATTCCCCATGTAAAACATTGAATTTTATATGATACATATTGATAAATCCTCCATGTTCAGACAAACCAAAATCATAGTGTTGGTCGTTGGTGATATGTCCATAATATCCTGTTACATCTCCATTATGCTGTGCTACATACACCCATTTCTGGGTTAACAAATCCTTCAACCACCAATGGCCCCGCCCATTTGAACCCCTACAATCATATTCAATCATCTTCCATTATTTTCACATATTTTCACTATTTCTGGTGGACAATTCCTCCATTTAAATCAATTTCCACATATATCAGGATATCTGATACACAACCAATCGACAACATATCCGCCGTGAACGGTTGGCTATTTGTTGCACATGGCTATTTTTATGCTAGTGAGTTGTCCATTTAAGCATCCCATCCATCTTTATCTGTCCAGTTGGGGTTCCTTAAGCATCTGAAAACCCATGGGGTTTATCATCATTTCCCTCATGATATCTCTACAAGTGCCATCTGGTTGGTGGTATACCTACCCCTCTGAAAAATACGAAAGTCAGTTGGGATGATTATTCCCAAAATATGAAAAAATAAAACATGTTCCACACCACCAACCAGCCATAAATAAACTAGGGAGTCTAAACCATTCCAATCCCCAGCATTCTCTTGGATGTGCTTAAGGGGCACCATGAAGAACAAACAACTCTTCCCAGTAGATTCCCCCGTCATGGTAAAATGCCAAAAATCACAGACTCAGCGCCAACAGGGTTTGTCTGAAACTATGATAATTTACATAAAAGTATAGCTAACATCTGTTCATCATTTTCCCAGTAATATGACTTATCGCCCATTTTCAGAAGTCCCAAAGATATTGCTGGCTGAAAACTCCCCCATCATCCCATCTTCGTCTTCATGGCCTCATGGCCTCCACGAACTCACCGGCCTTCCACCAACTCCTCCACCATCTGCTGCCCAAAGCCATCGCTCTCGAGGCGCTCTCTCAGGGTCTCGGAGAGCATCGGAGGGAAGGCGCGGTCGCAGGCCTCTGCGACCAGGATACCCATTTTTTGCCCAGAGAATGTTTGATTCAAAGGGATTTCACCAACAAACATGGTGAGCATTGGTGATGAAGATGCATATACTTATTATGTTGATTAATATATCCACTATGCTTATATTATGTTGATTATATCCATTTTTATCACCAACAAACATGGATGTAACTTGATATAATTATGAGATTTCATGGGAAAGTTCTGGTGAAGAATGGTGAATCATGGCTTTAATCATGGATACTTTTTTTCGTGATATTTTATGGGATTTATCCTATGATAATCAAACATGGCTTGCTGGAAAATCTCCCATTTATCGATGATCTTCCAGCCATGAACCTATATTTATAGAATTTTATAGATACTAAAAAAACATATATTTTATAGAATTCATTTTTAAATTTCTAACCATTTGTTCGTTTTTGGAGGATATCCCGAAATGAACGGAATGATCTTGGTTTGTCAGTTCACAAACACGCACTGCAGATCACAAAATTCGAGGAGAATGGGACGCTCCGTGGAACCGCCTCTAAAAGGCGTCTTGGAGATGTGAAGGCTTTCCTCAGTCCATCGCCAAGGTATTCCATGCCTGGAGGGCCCCAGTCCTTGAATTATGAAGAACTTTGAAACACATGCAAATCCCGTGCATTTCCGAACTCTAGCCTCCAACCCTACGTATTTTCGGAGTCAGCCATTGGCTGCCTGCCTACATGACTGCCAAGCTGCGACTCCTCTTGCAAGGTGTAGATGGCTTCAAATTTCCTTCCAAGTTTTCGGGGGGCCATGGGACCATCGGGGACCATCGGGGCTGAAATTTTGGTTGCCTCATGGAGTGACGAAATCAGTTGAAATCACGAGTCAGTAGGTCTGTAGACTTTTGTGGAGATGGGATATGCAGTTGTAGGCCAATGCGAACTGCACATGCATCTCAAGAAATCAGACTTGAAGACATCACATGAAACTGGTCGAGAGTCTATCTTGGTTTAACCCCCAAGCCACACATCATATTTTCAGTCTTGGGCTCTTGGGCCATAATAAGCTTTCCCGCCCCAAGCCTATCAAACACCCGAGGTGTGCCTGAGGAAGCCTTGAACCCACTGGTCCATCTTGAAAGGCCCCCAGCCGTATCCTGGAGATGAAGATCCAAAGATGCAGAAAAGTTTCAACTTCTTACCTTTCTTTGGGTTGGAAGTTGAATTTTATACATGTCTGCATCTAACTTTGGGTTGCTATACTGCAATCAGAGAATATGCTATACATATGAACATAACCCCTTCAAAAAGGGCTCATTCTGGTGGGACATGATTTTGTTCGTTCACATGGCTCACAGTCAACCCATTCACCAACCAAACCAAGATTTGTTTTGGGTTCATCCGGTGAATCCAGAACCAAAGCACCTAATCACCTACCATCTGGTTATGACTAACAGTTTGCCATGGAAAATAACAATTTTTAATAGGTAAACCATCTATTTCTATGGGCCATTTACCATGGCTATGTTAAATAACCAAAGGGTAATATTCAATACCCACAAACTTGGGAGACTCAAACTGAACAGATCCAATTTCCAATTACAAGCCAGGCTTGGGTGTGGGGCCAGTGTGATATTAGTGGAAGGGTTTCTTCCAACAAATGAACATCAAATCTGCCCCAGTTCAAATCAGAAAGCTTCCCAGTCCGAGCTTCTCCAAAGAAGCTGCAATACCGCGATAAACTTCCTGAAATGGAGGATTGACCAATCATCAACTACATCTGGGGAACATGCCTCTGGGGAAAATATGTGGTAAAAAAAGTGGGAATATATATAGTGGAAAATCCTGAGCATTTCAAGTGACAACAGGATACACATCGTGGACTTGCCAACAATAACTCGTACAAATACAAGAGGTTAACGTATTTATGCACTCCAACCTTGGGGTATAAAACCAACTAGAATCTATGGGGATTGAAATTCCCATCATGTTTACTATTACAACTGCAATATCTCAGGGGTCGTTACCGATTTTCAGGTACCACACCCAAGTACTATATCGGTTTGTGTCCCCATTGAATCGCATTAAATCCCTATTGTTGATTGTTAAACCAAAATGTTTGATCGCTTTTGGCCAATTTCTGTACCCTAAAAAAGCTCCACTCGGTTCCTAGCCCCATCACTTATATAGTGACAACCGTGCCTTTCCCAGCACGAGCGTCGTCTCACTGACCTCGAAGACTTTGCTTCTCCCATTGTGGAGCCACAAGCGCATGGCGGGTGGGCTCAACTTCTGCAGTTGAAATTCATCCGCGAAGTCCCACAAGTACCTCGGGATTCAATGAGCAGGACACCCATTTTTTGCGTTGTCAAACAATGTCAAACATACTGTATTGGCGAGATGAGGGAAGAGTCAATGAACAAAAATGTTGATACGATTTCATACGATTTCAATGCGTTTGTTCAACAACAACTGTCCGATACTGTTGGACTGACGCAGAAAAACATGAAGTCACACTCCCGCCTATACAACCATGAGCCCAAATGGTTCAGCTCCCTCATTCCACAATGTGCTGTAACATTATAACTATATATATATATATCAGCATGAAACGTTCTGGAGCTGAGTAGTAGAACCTCATCCAATCGTCAATCAATAGCTTTTTTCGGCCACTGCTCATGTGGGGGTTTAGGTGTGTCACTCAACTTCTGTCAGAACGCCAAAGTAGACTCACCGTTGCATTTTTTTAAAACATGTGACTTGTGAAAAGATGTCGATGAAGTCTGATCACCCACTTGACAGCGGATTTCGAGAATTCTGACTTCTTGAATTGAATGGGAGGTTAAGAAGCTGTGAGAAATGCTGCCAGCGATGCTGATTCTTCTCATGAATAATGGAAGCACCGGCCTGGTCGCAACACTTTCGTCTCAGGCATGTGGAATTCTACGATCAGCTCATATCCAACAAGAACTTACAAGAAAAATACACAAAAATAAATACGCAAAACATCACAAGATATAAAGTGATATGAACACATTCTCGGCCCAGGCCAATCCTAATCAATTTTGATACATTAGGTAAACCCACAGGATAGTTTCAAGACCTGCCCATAAGCATAATCAAATTTTGAGTCGCAAGAATCTGCAGATCCTTTTTGAAACACATGGTTTCCCCACGACCAAAAGAAATGGAGACATGATCCATCAACCTGCGCTGACCATTGAGTCAATCCGCCCCAGATTTGTCAATTGTTCACCCCGGCCACGCGCGAGCGATTTGAGGGATTCTCATGACACAAACAGTCGGCCCCCGGCAGAAAACCATGAAAATCATGAAACTCGACATTTCTGCAGTCAAAGAAGATATGAAAGCAAGGCATCGGTGCAAGACCAGAATGGAGACACCACCTTTGAAACATATCATTATACGGGAACATATTTGAACCCTAACCACAAGAGATGCGTTTTCTCAGCCCGGGTTGCCCAACTTTAAGAACAGCATTATCCATTGAAATCCTGCAATCCTGGGCCTCATAGGAATGTCTCCCATGCTGGAAGACCCTTGCTCGTCCGCCCACATGCTCGCTGCGTTCGTAGATGTGAATCTCTGCGTCTGGGAACTCCTACCATGGCAGGATTTTTTGGGAAACGGTAACAAGAAGGCCAAAAACAACAGTCGTTTTTTGTTGACACGCATAGCAACAATGGCATACTTATCTACAGTTGACATCACTTTGCAATTTGATGATAATTATTCTGTGAACAAATATACGTATTATCAATGATTGATACTGCAAATGTACCTGGATACAACATATATTATTTTCATATCGCTAGTCGGCTAGTCTTAGATATCCTTAATTAAGCCATCTTTGTTTTGAGCTGGATAGAAACCATAAACCCTAGCTTCTGCAGTTATACACCAACTTTGCTCACTATACTATGATTATGGAAAATATGTGGGAAAAGAAAGGACTATATTATTATCACATATTAAAACATATCATAATATATTATATGTATAATATATTATATGAGATAGAGATAGAGAGAAGAGAGAGCTAGCTCGAAGAGTCACTTACTCACTTAGCCAATCATTCCGTTCTTCTTTCAGCGGCCCATTCAGCCATTCAATCATTCAGTCCGCTAGTCATTCAATCATTCAATCACTCATTACCCTCAGCAACCCTTCCTTCCTCTTGCAGGTAAGTCAAGCCCCTATCAGCATTGATAGCATGTGGAAATGCCTCACAATGAACAAAACCCCATGATAGAATGGTTCAACTACCAAGAATTTGAAGATCAAATGCAACAAAAAGCAGACTTTCACTCAGCCCAACAATATGATTATGCGTGACCATGTCAAAATAAAGTCTCGACTTCCCAATTTTCAAGTCTTGTTGATCAAATCAAATCCCACATTTTTTTCTAGCTTCACCTATCCCCATATTTAAAAAATCTACCCTCTGGTAAACTAACATAGCTATGGAAAATCACTATCTTCAATAGGTAAATCAACTATAGATGATGCCATTTTCACTAGCTATGTTACCCTCTGGTAAATTAAAATAGCTATGGAACATCACCCTTTTTAATAGGTAAACCATCTATAAATGGGCCATTTCCCATGGCTATGTTAAATAACCAGATGGGTATGTTAAATTACCAGAGGGTAATTTGTAGCAATTCTACATATGGAAGCCGTGGCCATTCGATGATCGCACTCCTCCCGGCAGAAGCGCGCAGCACTGCAACCCCCGAGCCCAGCTCCCACCACTGCAATTTTCATGGCGTAAGTACTGGAGAACTCTGGGTGGATCAAAAGTTGGAAGTTGCCACTTTTTTTTGTCCATTTGCACAGGGAAATGATTCTAACCTAGCATATTTCCAACCATTGGATTTCAGCCCGAAGAATATCGGGGAATAGCAAGTACTTCACATATCCACCCCAGGTCGACATGGCTATGGGTCAAGTTACATATTCTCCAGGAAAAGCACCGAAATCATGGGTGTTTTCTTCGATGTTTCAGGGATTTGTCGTGCGATTCTCCACATCATTTGTCAACTGCTGGGTGAATATCTTGAAGGACCAGGAGTTGAACATCTAGGTTTTTTTTATTGACTTTTGACAAACTTCAAGAAAACCCCTTGTCGTGTGAGAAACCGAGAAACTTGTGTCCTCAGCTGACAAAAAGCTTTTTAAGTCGGCCTTCCGTGTTGACCCAAGGCGTGAAATTTTCTGCAGCCAAGCTTAACGATATCAGAGAGGCGAGCTGTTCAAAAGGGGAAACACTGCCTTCAGTTGTGTAGTTCCACCTCGAGAAATTGGAAAAACCATGAAAAACCGTAGAAACATATAGACTTGTATGTGTTCCTCTCCAAGAACACCGTGCCACTAGAATTGTCTCAGCCGATCACCATCTGTACAGATCAAAATCTCCCAACAACTATTCATTTTACCAGTACCCATGCTTATTCATATGTATCCCTACAGTAGAATCTGCATTTTTCTGGTTAGATATGCAAGCATTATGGATTGTATGGCTGACGCTTCACCATCCTCAGGGTTTTCCCTTCTGGTTTGACATCAACTGGAACTCCATGCACCAGCCACTGCCCTATGTTGGCATGTATCCCTCCCATTTTCTCACGTTCCTCTTTTCATGTTTCAACATTCTTCAGCTTAAGAAGAGTCACTGGGATGAACAAAACGCAAGCAAGGATTGAACCAACCACCCCTTCAGAATACCGCCATTAGAACTAACATGTCATCATGAAACACCATGAGCACATAAGACGCAGACTTCACCGTATCACACGACCATTTGACAAGGTCAACAGCCCATTGCATCCAGCGGTTTCTCATCCTGCTTCCCATTCTGGTAATTCTTCCGGTGCCATATCAATCCCTCCATTTTTATTGTTGGCTATCCTCCCCGCCCACTAACATACCCATATCAACGGTACACAAATACATCCGTTGATGATAAAACTCCAATTTTGGCTGGCCAAACCGTTACAGTACCATATTCTATCCCCTGTTTTCGCTTGGATAACCCAGACCATCCCCATGCAGGTTCTTGGCACCCTAGTTTCAGACAACCTCTGCATCCCAACTTCAGGAAAAACCCTCCGTCCTGGCCTACATTGCCCATTTGGTGGTCCCTTTGCGCTTTATACATCTATATACATCTATATACATCTATATACATCTATATACATACATACATACATACATACATACATACATACATACATACATACATACATACATACATACATACATACATACATACATACATACATACATACATACATACATACATACATACATACATACATACATACATACACACATACATACATACATACATCCATACATACATACATACATACATACATACATACATACATACATACACACACAGACATACATACATACATACATACATACATACATACATACATACATACATACATACATACATACATACATACATACATACATACATACATACATACATACATACATACAACATACATACAACATACATACATACATACATACATACATACATACATACATACATACATACATACATACATACATACATACATACATACATACATACATACATACATACATACATACATACATACATACATACATACATACATTCCATACATACATACATTCAATACATACATACATTCAATACATACATATACATACATACATACATACATACATACATACATACATACATACATACATACATACATACATACATACATACATACATACATACATACATACATACATACATACATACATACATACATACATACATACATACATACATACATACATACATACATACATACATACATACATACATACATACATACATACATACATACATACATACATACATACATACATACATACATACATACATACATACATACATACATACATATATATATACATACATATTATATATATAGATATATTATGTATATATATACATAGTATATATAAACATATTATATATACATATTATATATAAACATACTATATCTATCTGTAAATATAGTATATATATATATGTACATTATATATACATATTGTATACATATTATATATATATATATTTAAATATATATATATTTATATATATATATATATATACATATTTCATATATATATATTATATAAACATACTATATATATGTGTGTAAATATAGTATATATATATGTAAATATAGTATCTATATATATATGTATATATATATGTATATTATATATATACACATATTATATACAATATATATATATACACACACACGTTATATTGGGTCCCCAAATAACCACCACCTTGTGGCGGGACAAGTCGCCATGCTAGTCAAACCTGGGTCGCCCTGACGACACTTGCGTCCCTGGATCTCGTCAAGGCCTTGGACGTCCATCCCTTTGGTAAGCCAACATAGCTACAGAAAAGAACCCATTAGTAGAGTTGATTTATAGTTGATGTACCTATTAAAATGGTGATTTTTCCATATTTTCCATAGTTGATTTATGTTGATTTACCTATTGAAATTGTGATTTTCACCGTAGCTATGTTAGTTTGAGGGTACTGTTGGACATGGTGGAAGATCACCAACAGCACATCCACTGGTGAAAAGTGAGGGATATGAAACCTTGTACTTGTTTTTGGCACTCCTGAATCATGGTGAGTAAGTTCCACAAGTGGAAAAGCCCATTCTCCGGTTGCAGCCATAATCTCCGTGGGATGTAGTTATTTGGATTCGCTTCAAGGGAGCATGTGCAGGAAAAAGAACATATGTGCAAAGGGAGATTTCACCAATGCTTTCAACTGCAGATGTTACCTTTCCAGGGGTTGGTAAAATGTCCCATTAACACTTTACTCATGAGATAGAAAAATCGCAACCCTCCGACGACTCCTCTGGCATTGGCACCTGATGTACTATAAAATATATATATATAATATATACACTCTTATATATGCATTTAACATTATATATATATAAAACCATTTCCCTGCTTGTTCGATCTTATTTGATCATGTTTGATGCTCGCAGGCTTTCCCTCGCCGCTGGCACACTTCGTTTTTCTTAAGTGCAAAGTGTACACGTCCTTGAGCGAAGGGAAACATCGAAACTGACACCAAACACAACAAGAAACCTGCAGTCATGGAAACATTTTTCAACTATTTTCAACATTTTCAAGTAAACATGGTATTTCAACTATTTTCAACTGCACAGTCATGGAAACAAAAAGGTCGCAGTTGAAAATAGTTGAAGTACCATGTCGGTCCCATTACCGGCGTAGTATCCAAGCAGAAACTGGTGCCTTTCTTTCTATCAACGGCGAATGATTCCCGTATCATAGAATTGATGTCTTCACTGGCAGTCGCAAGCCACAAAGAAACCCAACACCTCTCCGGCTTTCCCATATCCATCACTTCGTGTAACCGCCCAATGGTCCATCGTGGTCCGTTGGTAGGTTGCATCATATTCCAGTGCTCTTCAAAGGATATAAAATTGTAGAAATGGATTCCCAATGATGTACCATCACTTTCCATTGCTCAATTTTTCATGTATTTCTTATCAAATTCTTTTTGAAAACAAATCATCTCTGTCGGTTCTATCTTGTCTTTGTTGGGTGAAGTTAAGCTCAACAATTGGGCCAAAAATACCTTTCCTTTATGAAGCCACGAAGAAAAAATGGCTCCAAGATATTAAAGGTTTCAGTTGTCCCCTATGAATATGAATAATTGCAAGACCTATTTGGATAATGGGACCACCATTAAGAAGATTCCACCATTATATCATATTACATTAATGGCTAACAGTATATCATATTCCACCATATCATTCCTCAATTTCCAGGGCTAACGGGTCGGAAACTGCATCAGTTCCTGCTCAGTGGCGTCTGCCATGCGCTTCGCTCGCGGGGGTCGGCTCGCAGGAGGGGGTCAGCATCCGTGGGGGCAGAGCTACTTCTTCTGAGATGAGGATAGTTTGAAAGTTTATAGAATCAAATATGAGACATCGTGATATGTTGTGATAAATTGTGATATATTGTGATATGGTATAATATGGTATGATGTGGTATGATATGGTATGATATGTAGTTAATTATATTCAATTTTACATTACGATGATGTTGGGCCGAATCATCGAACAGGTGTTGTTGTTGATGGGACGAATCATCGGACAGCTATCCAGTGACGTTTCCTCAAAAAACCATCTAAGTGGAGGTTTCCTAAAGGGGTACCCCCAGTTCTCATCCATTAAAAAATAGGATGTTCCAAATAAACCATCCAGCTATTAGGCTATCGCGCAGAGTCATTTCGAAATTTACCCCCTCAGTCATCGGATCTGCCCCTCAGCTGCTAATTTCAGAAGGACACGATGAAATGGCACGTAGGCCTCCTGGCACAGAAGGCATCACCGATCGTCACCGATCTTCACGGCAACATCGGGTCGATTTCGCCAAGAGAAATCTGGTTGGTGGATCCATTTCTACTATGGATTTGTATGGGACTTTTCGATCATTTCGATGATTTTGGATCCCTACATGTCCGACTCGACCGCGACTGTGGATGGGCATTTTCTAGCTGGCGGCCACTGGCTGTTAACAACCAGCCATTCATGGATCTGTTTCTACTGAGCCATAGTCAAGTCGAAATCCTAACCGCAACCCACTTACCATTAATCTTGAAGGTTACCTGGACTCCTTAGCTCCACAATTTGGCAGGCATTGGGTACTATCCCTAGCGGCCCTAGGCTCTCCCAATAACTGCTGTGGCCTTTTGCTCGCGTTCCTTCAGCAAGAGATCTGCAGGCTGGGCTGCGTAGATAAGCCACAGGACTGCAGATATGCTACCAGCATGTATGTGTGTATATATATAATCCCCCCTCCCCCCAGAGATGGTGATGGTCCCTGATATATATATATATATATGTGTGTACGTATGTAGTATGTGTATGTGCAAATGTATACGGTATATATATATATTATGTGTATATGCAGATGTCTGTGTATCCATCGCTGGGCCATAACACATACATGCAGCATGCATAAAAAAGATACTATGAACTATGATATAGTGATATAGTATACAATAGTTGAATGGGGTTCGCAGCTGTGGTGTGGATTGAACAAAATGATCAAAACATATCAAACTTGGGTGGTTTCCCCCAGCTTCCCTCATAGTCATCCCCCATAGTCATGAGACACTGGCTACAGTAGAAATACCTGCCATCATTGGTCAACATCCCGCGCCTGTACAATGTTGCATCAGCACCTGGCCGCGACAGAAACCCAACCGGACCTGGGGAGAATTGACAGTTGGCCAGAGCCGGCCAGGCACTGACAGTGACAACCACTTGGCTACATGGATTGGTCCCAAAAAATGAAAGATTCACAAATTCAGTGGTTGTCAAAAGTGTTATCACCATGAAATAAACTTGCATTGCGGTAAATCAATGTAATTCCCTATTTCCGCACACAAACAAAATCTTCATTATGCAGTATTCATGTCAGTAATTTGCAATAGTTCTCCGACTGGAAACAACAACTTTTTGAGATTATCCCTTGTACAAACCATTTCTGAGTCCCTATAGTTTCCCCAGATTCATCCATTCACCTTAAGATCAAACCACATTAAAAGATGAACTAAAGTTTCCCCACATTTTTGGCCCTTCTTTTTTGGGAGCCAACCCCCTTGATCAAACGGTTGACGTTCCGCCCAGTGGCATCCGGTAGATCGCTCTGGGCGGGTGCCCATTCGGGCCGCTCGCCCACAAGTACTTCGTGGGGCTCCTGGGATAGACGAAGATCGGAGGGAGATGGGGGGATTGAAGTCCTATGGGGATTTATCTATGTTATCCATAATTTATATCAATGGGAATTTCACGATCCTAAAATTGAGGTACTGTACCATTTAAGGCGTATATCCCCTTACATAGCCCATACATAGGCCTTATATATGGTAGGTACCTCCAATTTAGGTTCCTGGAATGGCCGTTGATTATATAACTCATACAGAGCTGTGGGTTTTATCTATAACTTACCTTATGATCCTTTACAAGCCAGAACTTCATAAGTTTTAAGTCCTATAGTCCTATAGGTTATAAATAGATATATCATGATATATCCAATGGGGGATATTTCATGGGATGTATAACTTTTATATTATAGCTAAACTAACCGGAACTATTTTGGTTCTGTCCGAAAATGGGGTATTCCCACAAATGGCACTTGCGAAAGAGGAACATAATGACCAACCATTGCCAACAAATTCTTGGAACACATCGTTTTCAGACCCAGATGATTATGAGATAGCTATGGGCCATGTGGGTTGGTAATTGTGGAGATCATGAATGTGGTAAACCCAATAATTAATACACCATCCACAAAATCATCATAATTACATTGGTTGCCTACACCATCCCCAGATGGTACCTTTATTGTTGGGTTTACATTATTATTTTGTTTGGTTAATGTTTGGTTGACAATCAACTTTGAGATCATTGTGGGATCCTTCTTAGCAGCCTGTATCCGATTTATATGGGGATTGATGGGGTACATTACTAACGACATGGGGTATAAAGCCGACCATAAATAAGCATTTTATGAGGATATTGCGGATATAATGAGGACACGATGGTGATATTTCGTGCGGATGTCTTGGGGATACAAGGTGGACCGTGCAATGGATTCATCGAATTCCGGCAGTCTGTAGGAATCCATTTTCTGACTCAAGAACTCTTGCGATATTTAGGTTGAATCCGATATTTGCTTTAAATGACCACCCACATGTGGCGAGATCGCAGGATGGGGGAGTCTGAAAATCCGACAGTGGTCTGTACATGGTCAGTTTAGGTACAACTTTGAAGCAGGAACGCAACTTGGTGTGACCAAAGCGAGATTGCAAATCACCTTAAATCATCTTAGATCTACGTATCGTTTTCAGAACTTCATCTTCCCAGCCGACCTAGAAAACCAATCGCGGAGGGTTGTGGATACTGAAAACCCACTGGTGAAAACCCACTGGATGTTTGATACTAAGTCGCCCCAACCACCAAGGGTCTTTCTTTTGCAAGCCGCCCAGTTTAAGGACTTCCCCGTCCTTGAGAGCATCCACAAATAAGCGAGGATGGCGTGTGATCAAGCGCTGCAATGGTGGCAAGAATCTGGGATAAGGCCTGGCGAAATCGCCAGCGTCTCCAATATCCATAGGCAAATCAGCTGGCATCACTCGCATCTCTCAAGATAGTCCGTGAAATAGAATCACAACGATGTAAAAAAGGAGACCTTGAATCTTGCAATTTGAAACTGAGACATCAGACATGAAAAACTGTGGTTCTAGAAGAAATCATGCTGTCGGACTGCTCTTCTGGCAAACATTACGCTAGGTGCTCCATGCGTCTGCACATACGCAGATAGCTATCAAATAACACCCTAAAAGTTTCAAAAAGGACAAAACAAGAACAACAAAAACGCCCGAGGCGGCCCCAGCCTTTCTTCTTTCAATCTCTGACGTTGACTAGAGCCGATCCTGGAAGAAATCTCCGCAGCATTGGCCAAACAAATCTGCACTTGCTGCGACTGGCCTGGCCTTTCTTCATTTAGTCTCTGGCGTTGACTCGAACCAATCCTGGCCAATGTTCCAGGCTCAAGCCCGCACTGCGATGTGTTAATACCTCTTGTATTTATATATGGAGGTTTCCAAAAATGGGGGTTCCCCAAATCATCCAGCATTAGACAATTTTAGTATTGAAACCCATGGTTTTGCGGATCCACCATTTTAGGAAACCCCTATTATATATTATATTATAATTATATTAATATATTATATATATCATGTAAATATCATGTATAGTAATATCATACATGTTACATATATGCTATTTCCAATACCAATATAAAGATGCAAATCTTGACCCCAGAAAGCACCTCTGGATGTGACGTTGCCCTGAAGATATGCTGTAAACGAAACCCTTCTGAAATGTATTTGATCTACATATATATCATCTAATTACAATATATTACAGTATCAATCATTTTGGGGCCCAACCATGGGGTGTTTTTTGTGAACGACTGGTCGCGGCCCTCCGGCCTTTCTTCATTCAGTCTCTGACGTTGACTAGAGCCGATCCTGGCCCGCTGTTATAAAGCCATCTTCAAGGGGCTGGTATGTCGAAATTATATGTAGCTGCGTACCGGAAAACACATGTATCTATATTGTCTAATCTTGTATGATACAATTCGCATCATTACTGAATTTCATTGATAGAGCCATTATATCGTTGGAGTCGAAATGCGAAGCAGTCTAATCAAAACATCATGGGCAGCAGTCCGCGATTAATTTGACGTCCAGATTCAGAATTTTGCAACGACTGGAGAGGGCAAATTCTATGGCACTGACTCAAACAAAACATAAACAAAAATCTTGAAGTGCCCAAAGAAGAATGCATTCCAGATATTTCCAGACTGGATTCCGAAGAAAACTCCCCGAATGGCCTTTCTTCATTCAGTCTCTGCCGTTGACTGGAACCCAACCTGCTGGAGAGCTAACTATCCATCCCTGCTGGCTGGATGATAATGATACACTAACCTGGAAGTAGCTGAAATAAGGCTATTCTGGCATAGTTACCCTTTACTATACATCATTTCAGTGAGGCCGCAGTGAGGTCATCATTATATTGTAACTGACTCATCGATCCATATATTTCCAAATAAATGCAATATTCAACCTTTTCCAGGGGGAATGATCCATCTTGGGGAGAAGGGATTCAGAAAAACGCCTTGAGTTTGAGATCGATCATTTGGATGTCCACGAGTCCATACAACTCAATGTGGTAAACCCAAAGCTGTATATAAATATAAGCCATCCCCAGTATCACCAGAAATGGGTGGCTTATTCAACCATTCCCCAATAGCTGGTTTGTTTCTTGTAGATTTTTGCCACGGAAGTCATGCCTCTGACTTTGGCCGGATCCAGTCCTGGCGGTACTGAACAGCAAGTGGAACGCGGCCCCCAAGAATAAAACACATTACCTTTGAAACAAATCCAGACACTATTAACCACTATTAACCAGGTAATTAACCAGGTTAATAGTGGTCAATAGTGGTTAATAGTGGTCAGCAGCACCTTTTGTAAAACCGAACAACTCCAGAAGTTGATTGCTCTTCCAATTTTTGTTCGAGGATCTGGCTTTTCAATTTCAATTTCGGTTCTTGCTCACTGTACCCAAGCTATCCTACATACAAAAAAAACAGAGAGCAAAGCTGCTGAGGACGGCAACAGTCCCATTTGGCCGAACTGAACTGATTGTAGGCAGTACAAATCATCGAATTCAAGTTATCACAATATCAAATCTCCGCGTTTCCTTCCATTCACGTGTTTCGTCACTTGCATCCAGTGATCCTTTTCTTTTCACTGAGAATGAATCCGGCGTTTCGCCCGCCTTTCTTCATTCAGCCTCTGACTTTGACTGGAACCAATCCTGACAGCACTGGTGGCCAAGCACAAACGTCTTATCGTCTTGAAATATTCACAAAGAGCTATGCCCATCTATGCCCCACTTTGCTGGGGCAATCTAACTGGCCACGGCTAAAGTGATATAGTCAGAGGCGAGTTCCCCCTATGGTTTCTGCGGGTACCACAGACTAGGTACCCGCGCCATAAAAACTTATAACACACCATTATGTGTCGAACTTCTTCCTGGGACAGGTTGGGCATAGTAGCATAGCCTCTCCATCAGCATTCATCATTGACAATTCTCTCCACTATAAATGCTCATCCAAAAATCATTTGTAAAGTGTAATTTCACGTTCTTGCAGCCATTGCGGAGAGCCCTCTATCTTTTTCTTCTCAGTACGAAGGGTGCAGTGGTTTCAAAAATGATCCTGTACATTATGACTTGGCTGCAAAAGCAAACCTTTCAACATATGTTCACAACAGCACTAGAACTTCAGGGCTGCTTCAAGCTAGATCCTCTGCGGGCACCCGAGTCATGGTCCGAGTTGCTGAAAACCATCCTGAGCCAGATGCCCTATAGTAAAGAATCGCAGAATCGCAGAAGAAAAGAACATATTTTGCCATCCACAAGGTCTGGCCAAGCGAGGAAAGAACCACACCAGATCTGTCCGCATATACTAGTGCAGCAACAAAGGCCGAAAGAGATGAAAGCAGGTAGAAGTTGTCGTAGCTGCAGAACTGTGAGAGATGTTCCCTCGCCCAGATGAAGGGCTGCATTACAAGCTCAAAGCAAATCGTCAAGTGAACAGATACGACAGTACCCATCATCATCATATGATGAATCATCTCCAGGTGAGAAGCAGTTGCGGACTCCACGCCTCCTGACAGGTGCAGGAAACAAATCAGGAGGCATGGCATCGTCATCCACCCGGTTGCATTCCACACTTGCGCACCTAAAAAGGTGTACCATCCACCTTGCGTGCACTTTCTCGCCAAAGCCCTAGCAGACCGTGGAGACAAAAAGTAAAGAAAAAGGTCATGATTGTCAAAATGCATGTCTTCAGGGATCTGTCAAAATCCTTGTCGCGCAAGGCCTCTCCTAGTGCTCGCAACATGAAGTAAGCTGGTAAGTAAGCACGGTACTGAACTCTCTCGATCCAAAACCAAGACTGGCTGCAGCTATGAGATGAGTCTGGATTTGCAGTGAAGGAGGCCCTATTGCTTGCGGTACTAACAGAGCCCTAGTGCTCCACTCTTTTCGAATGAGGCCGCACAGCCAGAGGATCATCGCAGTATCATTGAGAAGGTGGGTGACAATGAAAAAGCATTTTGCTCGCCGGTGACTGTGCTCAACTTGCTCGAGCGTGCTGATGCCCTTGGAAGTGGGAAAAGGCACGACTGAGCCAGCAACTTCATCAAAGCCCATGTAGTGTATGTCAACTCGCTGGAAGGAGTTGGACAATGTGGAGACTCTAGCAGACAAGCGCAGCACCAGTGCGGAAAGTTCCACTCCCTCTCCATCTTTGCCAACTTCCATTAACGCAGACATGAGATAAGATGGCTCGCCTGCAGGTCCGGAGCCCCAACGACCCTCATCGCAACCATACACAATGGCCAGTTGCTCTTCTGCATCATGGCCCTGAAACGCTCCGCAAACTGCCACACTTGAATTTCCTCGTGCTGGGTGCACCGGCTCTTCAAACAAGAATGTGCGGCAACAATCCAGGATGAGAATTGTCGTGCAATCAGCTGCGATCTCAGCACCGATTCGTTCAGCAATTGTGCTCCTTCCTCGTCCCCGTGAGGACGTCAGCTTCTGCAAATCTTCGATCCACTTTTCCAAGTGGACCAGTGATTCCTCTTCACTCTGGATTGAATCCTCGCAAGCTACATACTGCTTGCCATTTTGCTCAAGCTGTGGCCAGAAAAGCACACGAGAAGAACAGTTTCCACCCCTGCCTCCAAGTCTTGCAATACCGACTCCATGATCAGATTCATTTTTTCCTTGGTGGCCTTGTAACAAGGATGGATCTGGTAGCCGTAGCCCCTTAAGAAACTTGCAAAGTCTTTCATGTTTTGGGTTGCCGCGGGCAAGTTTTTAAAACCAGAGTCTTCTGCATAGGTCCCAGCGCAAACAAGCAAAGCAATGTAACGAGTGCCTCCCATTGCCGATCGGCTGCTTGACCATGCGCAGTAGGAGAGAACGCTTACCAGAGCTCTATATAGTGGGCAAAGAAAGTGTGACTGTACAATGGGTTTCGATTGGTCTGCTTTTTCATTGCATATTTTTTGGCAATGCATACTAGCACTACGTAATATTTTAACATATCAATATATATATATATATATTGTTGATTTTACAATAGTATGTGTATTTGATTGCGTGTCATGATATGTTTTACCCGTTCAGCAGCTGGCATCTTTCTCAACTCCGTTCCTGTCGACAACGGCGCAGTGCGGTGAGATGTGGGGCTTTCTGGACTCATAACCTACCAGAGATTCATGGCACACTGGCACCCAAACAGTACTCTGACATAGAGGGTTAATGGACGGTTTTTCCCCAAGTCATATCGTACTAACAGGTTTTGAGCCACCAGCGCCGGCCATGGTCCTGCCTGTCATCTGCTCGCCCTTGACGTGATCCAATCCTGGCGGCTTGAGGACTGAACTAAACATAGGAAGACTTTTCCTGGAGGGTTCAACCTGGAGAATAGGGTGAATATGGGGGAATTGTAGGGATAAGTGATGAAAATGAAGATTGCATTAATTAACAACACATGGGAATATACATGAATGTACTTAGGAAATCACAACCAAGCAAGAACCTAAAATTGTTTGGGGCCAACCTATCCCAAAGCATGTCAATTCGGATCGGTTGGGATTACATCCCAGAGCTGATGGAAAACAAGAATACAGATCTGGACCACCTACCAGCTCGTATATGGCAATGGCAATAACTGGAAAATACTGCAACCGAGTCTGTTAAAGTTGGGAAAATTAAGTCCTGGAGTGTCACTTTGGGTTCTGCTGCCAACTTCTATATAAAATTCAATTCATCTTTGGGGCCAATCAGCGGCATATAGAGGAAACCCTCTTCCATCAGGTGTCTGGGCAATGGGGCTGAGACAGTTGTTGTATTGTTGTATACCCAGATGAATAGATTATACAGTACAGTTGACTACCCTCTTGTAATTTCACACTTGCGAGCTGGTATAGACGGCCCATTTAGTTCGATGATTTACCTATAGAAATTGTCCTTCGACCCCGGCCTTAGCCA